TCTCGTTTAGGAACTGCTGAACCCGTCTGAAGTTGTGCTCGTATAGACGTTTCACCGCAACTTCTCGCCCGTCCTGAAGTTTTCCTGGATCGAAACAACGAGGATATATAGATTTAAGACATGGCTTCTCTACTTCATAGTACATTTGTTGATGCAGACAGATTCTGTCTGTTTCATATTCTTACCATAGTACACAGTTCCGAAGCCTCCATCCCCGAGCAATCTGTCGCCGCTGAAGTTATTTGTGGCTTCCTCGAGTTCTTTGTAGGAGAAGACGGGTATCTTGAAGAAGACATGGCTGGACTCGACATCGGATTTCGAGTACCGGTCAGATGAATCATTTCCAGAGATGAAATCTGAACCATTTCTCCTTCTGAAGAACCGTGGAATGATTAGCAGAGCTGCCAAGATGATTATCAACGCCAGAGAGCCGCCAATTCCTGGACCATTAAGAGAGAGATTGAACTGTCCGAGCTTGATACATATATAGGTGCATACATGATACATGGCTTTGCTCTAAACGTTATTTTAAGACAGAACAGAAAAACAAGAGTATCTCTTGCTTACCTAGTCCGAGCTCCATCCTTCTCTGACTGCTTCCACCTGCATCACAGAGATCAAGATTGCAGCTTTTTCATCAGTTTAACTTCATGAAACCCCATCAATCTATAGAGATATATGTGTGTGTGTGTTGGAGAAGAGAAGTGACATTCAAACTTCAAATTCCTAACCTTTCTCCCCTCCAACGCATGTAATATTCTTCTCATGGTTGATGGAGCATGTTCCCCCTCTGTAATGGCATCCATAGCACCGACCCAGTGGAGTTATATTTACAGAGAAAGTGGCATTTAAATATATGTTTCTATTGCTCTCGCTCGGTTCCCAGATCTCCGGAATCTTGAAAGCCGAACATTCGGGAGGAAACTTGTCCATGCTATCTTCCGGCAAAGCGTAGAAGAATCCGCCCGCTTCGCAATTGTGGTAAGAAAATCTCTTGCTGGAGCTGATATCAGCCTTCTGATTGCATCTGTACACAGTTTTCAGCCGCAGCCATGGCGTATCTGGAAGAGAAAAGCTCGACAAGTCACTGCAGTTGGAAGAACTCAAGGCTCGCTCGAGCTCGAGGTCGGTGACGATGATGTTGTTTCCCTGAGATATGTCCACGACTTTGTACCATTTCCCTCCTTCCTTCAGCTGTATCTGAGGCTCCTCCTTGCTGCAATTCACCATGAACAGGCCGCAGTCCGGTGGCATCTGAGTGGAGTAGAAAGGGAACTTCATATCGTGGAGGCTCTGACAGGTAAACGGACTGTTGCATCTTTCCCGCCGGGTCCTTCTGTTCGTTGCTTCCGACACGGGAAGGGACGTGAAGTGGAGGATAAGAAATAAGGCAAACACAGAGATGGTCGCCATCTTTGTAAAAAAAAAACTCGAACCCAGTTCGAAAGGAGAGATTTTTCGGACAGAACAGGGGAAAGATCGAAACTTTCCTTTCTGATCTGAGATGGGTCGGAATCTAGTGATTCACCCTTTTTTTCTCGGCATATTTGTTTTTTTTTTCTTTATAGAATATGGTGCCACAACACGCAAGTTGACTTGGAGGGGGAGACCAGAGACATCAAAAGGAAAGATTTGGGGAGATTGGGGGAAGAAGAAGATGGAGAAGAAGAAGAAGAATGACGTAGTAAACTCAAGTTTTTTTTTTTTTTTTTTTTTAAAAGAAAAGTCGTTGATTTTTTTTTTGGTGAATTATTGAAAATATTGGAGATGGGTTTGAACGTCGACTCTGACTAGAGATGGCTATTAAAGTTGACATTTTTGGATGTTCAAGATTTTGACAAAAACACCATCCGCCATGAAAATTAAGAATTTTTTTTTAGAAATCTTTGATTTTAACCCACTTTTAATGGGTCTTCGAGGAGTGTTTGAACCATCAAGAAGATTGGAAAATCTTGGTCTTTCATGATTAAAAGGTTAGAAAAAAAAAACAGACATACTGTTATTGTCGGTTTTGATTATCGGTCCATTAGCGGTAACAAAGATAAAAAATCAAGATTTTATGATATATAACAATTGGAATATATATATATATAGTATATCAAAGATCAAGGAGTTGAAATTACTTTTTGAGCGTATTATCAAATCCATGACTGAGAGAACATTCTCTTATCAAACAATATCCTATTGATGAATAATTTGTATGGGACAAGAGACTCATGTCAAACTTGAACCGGTTAGTTTCGGTTGGTTTATCTATTTTCAAGTGATTTAGCGGTTATTGTGCAGGGTCGTAGGGATTGACTGTCCGTAATGTCGTTTCTATCGGATCTATTGAATTGTGAGACTATTACGCAAAATAGAGTAGGTTCCAACGTTAACAAAAAAAAACTTAAGTATTGGATGGATAGAGTTTTTTTTTTAATTTTGAAATTTAAAAATAAAAACAGTCAGTCGAATTTATTTTTATATCTATATATATATATATATTTAAATTCGTAAAATCATTTCATTGAAAAAAATTAAGTAAAATTCATAAACTTTTTTTTTTATTTTCACGTTTTATAAAAAAACTGTAAACAAAAAAACTAAAAAGAAAACGATCACCGAATATTTGAAAAAAAAACTCACCGAATGAAAATTCAGACAAGTTGGGAGGGAAGTGCATCTTCTGTGGTAAAGGTGATAAGGATGCCACGTTGGCCTATTGCGTATTTATTGGACTTAGTGCTCTTTTTTATATTTTATTTATTTATTAAAAAAATATAGCGTGGGGCCCATCCCGTCCAATCAGAAATAACCAACCAATCAAATTAGATTCAGCAACTTGGCCTCCGATCCAGTTGCCCAAGTATCTCGGAATCTTAATCTCAACCCAAATATTCTTTTTCTCTCCCTTTAAATGTAATACAACTTAGAATGGATATTTGAATTTTTCTATAAACTTGATTAGGGTTTTCAAATTTATTTTTGGTCACATTATCTGATTTCGGTCTTGTAAAGTTTGGATAATTGCAATGAATATTTATCATCTAAAACCTAAATTCAAATCCAAAAGTTGGATTCACGTTATCCTATACATTCCATTTATAAATGAATATTCCAAATTTTGTATATTCGAGATTAGATGACTATTCTAAAATTTAGATTTTTATGTTATCATCTTGCTAGAATATTAATCAATTTAGTTTATAGATATATTATTATTATTATTTAAATTGTATGTTCTTAGTGTTATTTATCATATTTTCATAAACGATAAATTGCATGATACACTCCTTAAATTTATGGTTTATATAAGTTTCAAGCTCCATTTATATAGGGGCGGCGATCAGGTTATTTAGATTCGGTTATTTCGGATTTGGGTTATTCGGATTTGGAATATTCATATCCAATCGGATATATAATCTCAATAGATTCGGTTCGGGTTTGATTCGGATTTTTTCAGATTTGGTTCGGGTTTATCCAAATAAATATTAGATTAAAAAAAAGTTCCATGAAATGTCTTATAGAAAATTAACAAAAACAACATTCATAATATCATTTGTACAAAAAACAACCTAATATCAATAGTCTCATATCATAAAAAAAAATCAAACATAGACTCTTTCAACAATCTTCTTGAACAAAAATTTCATATTGTGAACCTTAAAAATGAAAAAACAATGACAAAATAAAAAAGACACTTCAATGAACAAAATTTTAAACTAAAATCATTATAAAAAAAATCACCTTGATGAGATTTATTCTAGAGAACATACAATGTTACATAGGATGAGCTTCCATTCTCACTGAGCTAGAGGATGTAACATTGTAACATTCAGACTCAGTTACAATGTTATATATATATATATATATATATACATATATATGAAAAATAACAAATAAATACATCAATTTGTTAATTTCTTACTCATATATACATGAATTTTTTAATTCCCCAAAAAATACATCAATTCGCAATTTTCTGGCAAATTACTATCACGGACGCTAACAATGTTAGCTTTGTAACAATTTCCGGTGACCGGTGCTGACGTGGCTCACCGAATTTTCTACATCAGCGCCACATGTCAAAATTTTTCCATGTCATTAAAAAATAAAAACAAAATTAAAATTAACTTCATTTAAAAAAATAATTTAAAAATAATTACAAAAATTACAAAATTATAAATTTGAAAAAATAAAAAATTTAAATTTGAAAATAAATATTTAAAAAATAAAACTTTAATTTTTAAAACTAAATATATACACATACATATATACATATATATATACATACATATACATATATTTCAATATATATATATGTATATACATATATATATACACACACGTATATATAAATTTACACATGAATATTAATATATACATATATATATATATACACACACATATACATATACATTTACACATATACATGTATATGTGTATCTATATTTGTGTAAATTTTTATATATATATATAGGTATATTGGAATATATGTATATGTATATATATATTTTTTTATGGGAAAATTGTATATGTATGTATATATGTATGTATATGTATGTATGTAATTTGCGTTCGTGTAGTAATTGTTACAAAGCTAACGGTGTTAGCGTTCGTGTAGTAATTTGTCAGAAAATTACGAATTGATATATTTTTCGAGGAGTTAAAAAATTTGTGTATCTATGAGTAAGAAAATAGCAAATTGGTGTATTTATTTGCTATTTTTCCTATATAACTCATTAAACCTTTTTCCTTTGTTATAAAAAATTAAGGACAACCAAAAATTATATTTAAGAATTAAAATATTTGACAATACAGTAATAAAAAAAATAAGGTTTACATACTCTATATAGTTTACCGACTGTTGCACAGATTGCAGGGTTTACTATATGCGATACTGATTGTTCGGTCCGAAGGCTGTGGGACGATACAGGATCCGACCCAAAGAATCGTATGATGGATTCTTACTGTTATAAAAAAAATAATTAAAAAATGGAAATAGAACTAAAATATAGGATTGATGTGCGCCGTGCCTCATATACGATTGGACAGTCAATTTATTGGGCTGAATGAAAAACACAGCTTGGACTATTGAATACAAAGCCTACGCCCATTATTGAATTGGCCCACTAGATTTTTCGCCAGCGAATACCCTCCGGCAATATAATACTCTCTCCAATTATGAGTATATATATATATATATATACTCGGTAATTTCTAACAAGGACGGATAGTGATTGACAAATACATATCCCACGGCTCATAAGCATACAATAGTCGATTCAACGATGAAATCTAAAAAGAGCTTTCGTATCGTGTTACATGTGATACATTCATATAATTATTTAACAAAGTCTCCGAGATTCAAATTTCTATTTTGATGATGATGATGGATTACGTGAAGATATGGAAGAGGGCGGTGAAATTGTAGAACGTGATAGGTGTGCTTTAAGACGCATGCGGTCGGAGGATATGGACGGGGATCTCCTCGTCCAATGATTCGGACCATATCCGGTGGTCGGTGCGAGCCATTGTAGGGCCCACATCACCCCCCTCAAAACCCAAATTAAAAAAAAAAAAAGAACCATACCATTTTTTTTGCAAAAGCGTAATACAAAACATTATTTTAATATTTTCCGAGACTCGTTTAGCATTTGACACGTGTCAGTATCTTAATAGTAGAACCATCGCCGCTCCGACACCACGAATTTTCTCGGCCGGGACCCACCCGTGGTTTTGTTTTGTTTTTCAATTTGTTTTTTTCTGGAAAATAAAAATGACGAGTACTTTCATATACCATTAAAATAAAAAATATCCAAAAAGTTAAATATAATTAAAAAAAAACAGTGATAAATGAGTTGTCTCGTACTTAATTTCTCAAAGAAAAATGAAACCCTATCTGTCTCTGCATATAAAGTTGCAACCAACACAATTATTTCAATTTTCAGATATGCCTCTAACCAAATCCTTTATGTTAACAAATAAAGTTTCATTGTGGTAGGGCGGTTTGAACCACACATATTTATTTTCATGGACGTATATTTCTTTCAATAACGACAAATATATACGCATATGTGACTCTAATATCGATAATTAAATTAAATTAAATTGCAGACACAGAGGATACATCTGGGCTCAGTCAGTGGCTGAGTCATCGTTCCTTATCTTTCCAAGCTCTTTACAATGACACCGCCACCTTTATCCGACGTGTCCCGAGATTCCCTAACCAAACAGCCACTCATATTCTGCCACGTCATTCCTTCTCCCTCTATATTTACCCGCTTTATACCCTCCTCGTAAACCTCCTCTCTCCTCCTTCCCTCTTTCTTCACAATCCCAGAACCCAAACCCTAGTTTCTCTTCGAAAATTACCTCCAAAAGATTCCTTTTTTCGTTCTGGGTTTAGAGATGGAGATTCCGGTGATTAATAGGATAAGCGATTTCGAAGTGGGCCTTAATTCGATTAACGATCCATCGTTTGTGTCTCGAGCTTTCGCGGTTTCCGGATTCGGGAAATTCTATCACGCTTACAGTTTCTGGAAATGGGGTGCTTTGATTATTGCTTTCCTAGCTTCGTTCACCACATTAATCACTAGAATTAAGATCTTAATCCTCAGATTAAGAAAAATCGACTTGCCCCTTCCTTCCTCGCCCCTTCTCGACGATTACGACAGCGATTCAGATCTGTCCTGTTCCTCCTCCGACGAAGCCGACACCGACGAAGAAGAAGACGAGGAAGAAGAAAGTTCAGTCTCTTGGAGACGGGTCGACGGAGATTTCCATGTGAGAGGGTCCGGTTATTACATCGACGACAACGACCAGGGGCTAAGCGGTAATTTCATGTGGCGGCGGCGGCGGAGGAGCGGCAGCTTCGGCGACCTCTTCTCGTGGCCGGATCTCGCCGGGCTCGGCGGAAGCGGCGTCGTCAAGCTCTGGGACCATCTCGACTTCGATAAACGCCGCGACGTCTCGGCGGCTCAGTCGTCGCCGGTGGTTCTGGCGGCGGAGGGGAGGGGCTCCGACGCGGTGGAGGTGAGTGCGTGGGACCCTCGCGCCGGGATCCGGGTGCCGGCAATGCTGGCGGAGTGGCGGGGGCCGCGGCGGATGCTCGGGAGGATCGCCGGAGTTTCCGGCGGTGGAGTCGAGAAGATCTACGTTAGGGATGACGTCAGCGGAGAGATCACGGTCGGCGACATGAGGATGGTTAACGCCGCGTTGACGGACCTGACGGAATCCGACGTGGATACGTGGTGGGACGCTGACTCCGTCATAACGGCAGACGTCTCCGTTGACGGGACGCGTTAGCTTTCTTAAGTGAAATTGCCGGTTCGGTTCGGCGGAAAATAAGGAAAAATAATAATCACCAATGGAAGTGATTATTACCATTTTTTGTAAATATTTTGTCTGTTTTATGTTTAAGTAATTATATTTTCCTCTCTTATTATTCTATTAAATTTTTTTTGCTTTGCCACTCAGCCCAAAAAGCCATTTTTTTTATTGCCGAATAATGGATAATAACCAATAGGGGCGGGTGTAATATCCAAAAAAAAATCAATTATATTTAAATTATCTAAAACTAAATTTTGGACCGATAAGGATATAATATTAGAAAAAATCTAAAATATACTACATATGGTCATTAATATTCCTATATTAATAAACTAATTATAACAAATTCCAAAAGAATCCATAAAAAAAATGACGCCAAAGGTATTATGTCAAATACCAAAAAAAAAAATCAAAATCTAAAACGATAAACATTATCTTTGGAATGTCATTAACTGTAGATAAGGTTATTTTCTAGGAGACAGAAAACGTGTTGGAGTTGAATTGTTCGAGGAAGCTTCATACTAATTACGTACTTATTTCGCATGAAAATTACGTATTTATTTCGCCAAGTGAAAAATGCGGTCCAAATTTTCACGCAAAGACCAATTAAACACTTTTACACCATAAAATTATAGTCTATGGGAAAATAATATTTTTTATATATACACATATATATATATAATTCAATTATATAGTATAGTTTCCTCTTTGGTTATGCAATTACACCGAAATATGCTATTTTTTATTTGAAGTACTCCTCCATTGTTTAAAAACATTTTTTATAATATAATCCATCCGTTTCATTTTACATCGTTTAAGACTTAAACACACAAATTGATAAAAATAATGATTTGTCTAGAATACCCTTATTTACTACATAGAAAATTGTTATTTCTAAATATATAATAAAATATTTAATTATTATTAATTAGGGATAAATTTAAAAAAATGAAAATTAATTATATAGAAAATCTCAAAACATGAAACAAAAATATTATTATAAAACATCATTTAATCTGAAACAGATATAAAACATCATCTAATTTAAAACGGAGGGAGGATATTATAACGAATTTTCAATATCATCACTCCACGAAACGGAGAGACCATATGCAATGGTGATTGAAACGTATTAAATGCTCTAATTGCGATTATTATATAATTATTATACTCAATCAATTTATAAACAGCGCCTATTATTCATTGATTGAGCATCGCTTTCATTTAAAATAAAATAAAATAAAATATTATCTAATAATCTCGGTTGTTATACCGACAAGGAAATGAAAAAACACGACAGAGAAAACCGGCCCGAGTTTTGAATTCATCACACTTAGTCTCGTGAAAGCCTTACCTAACTTTTGTTATTTATATAAATAGACAGGCTGATTAATTATATAGTCTTGAATATTGGATTTGGAATCCTTATTTTGATAACGAAATTGAAATCAAACCCCCGAATGTTTGACTTTGACTTCGACTGAAATAACAGCTCGGTTATATAATGGAACAAATTAATTTAGTAGAGGATCATTTCATTTGTATCAATTTAATAACTGGAATCTCCGTCAAACAATAAAATCTGGACCGGTCTACTTCGACCAAAAAGTAACATTAAATTAAATTGATAAATCATATAAACTTTAGCTACATATATGATGATTATGATTTAAATGTAAGCCCCCCCTGATACAACGTAATAGAAATTGGGCCAGAGTTACTGATGATGATATGCATCCATTTAATATTTTGGGCTTACTGAACAGGCCCAATAATTAGCGTATAGACATATAAAAACATTACGAATATCATTACTTGCTATTCTTTTTTTTTTCTCCTTAAAATTGAAAAAAAAAACCACCGTAATACATTCAGATAAATTTTCTTTTTATATTTTATGCTCGTTCTTTTTAAAACATATGAAATTAAAAAAAAAAGAATGGTAAAAAAGATTATCATGATATGGATTTTCTAATTACTGATTAACATATATTACCATATTTTCTACTTAGAATAATTTAAGACGGATGTTAGCAAACAACGTAAAATAAAACGTATTAGGGTGTTTAAGCTAATATCCAATTTCTACTCAGAATAATTTATAGTCAATTTAAAGTATCATATGTTAAAAGTTTTATTATAAGTGCTTTATAAAAAAAGTTTATTATAAGTTTTTTAGAAATATGTATTGTTAGTAACTATTTTTTTTTGGTAAAAATTATTGTTATTTTTATTATAAAATGTATACACACGAACAAATTAATGAACAATAAATTTACACAGTCAATTAAATGGGAATTCTTTGATGAACTTGAAAACCGAAGGGGAAATCAGATCGGGCCGGTTCGGTGACATAACCAAACCCGGTTCGAACTGTCGGAAAACCGGATTAGGAGAACCCAACAAAGCCATCGAACTCGGTGTAAACAACGGAAAACCAGCCATGTGTTGACTCGCCTTATCCTCGGGACTAAACGACGTCGTGTTATTTTCCTCACCGCCGCCGTTAACTTCCTCCGTCACCACCGAAGAAGACTCGCTGACGTCGTTAGGGTTCCGTCTGATATCGGGTTGTTGAATACGAGAGACTCGTCCGGTGAGTCGCTGAACCAGAGCCATGAAGTCCTCAGCGCGCGTGTGAATCACCTTCGGCGAGTGCGCGTAGATGATCACCGGCTTCACCGCCTGAGACGACGCCGTTTTTCCGATGGCACGTGATAATTTCCCGACTCCTAACGACGGCGGACGTGAACCGTTAATTTCATGGCACCTTTTTGGTATCATTACTGACTCTATCTCCGAATATGAAAATAGATTTACGAGAAAATAGAAAGAAGCTGAGTTTACGAAATTAGGGCAAAGAGGAAAAAAAAAAAAAAAAGCAAAACAACAAATACTGTTTGTGATTAGACATAAACATGTAGATACAGAGAGGTTTATATGTATATAAGTAAATGCGTACAAGTCTACGTAATTATTATTATAATAATGTCAATGTGTAGCTAAAGCCAACGATTCTGACCGTTGACCAAACATAAGGTGAGTGTTTTGAATGTTGTAAGTTGGAAGCAGTTTGATAATAACACATACCCAAGATCTAATCCTTGTTCATTTGTCTGCATGTTTTTTTTTCCCACGTAATATTTCAATTTATTTTTTTAAAAAAAAAATTTTGGTTAAAATGTTTTATTTCTATTTCAAAGTTTAATGGTATTCTTTAGAAGAAAAAAAAAAGGGTTTCACTGTTTTAGAAGACGGCGCGCATGGTGGCTACAAAAGGTTGAAACGTCGCGGTTTCTTCCCCATTTGCAACGTTAAAAAAGTTTTCCACCATTATTAGTTTTCCTTAATTAAATTAAACCCCACTTGCAGACCAAACATAAACTATATAATCTGACGTTTATTCAACAGGTTGATAATATTATGCACTTAAATGTCAACCACCACCCCCCTTCTTGTTATTTTCAGCCTACTTTTCCAATTTAAATTGTCGGGGCATATTTTTTTAAAATCTCAATATTTGGATGCAACAACAATTTTTAAATAGTTTTAAGAAATTTTTATTTTACTACTGATAAAAAAAAGGCTAAAACTAATGAAAATGATTATTATAAGATATCGGGAAATAATCTTTAGAAATCTTAACGCAACTTGAACGCAATTTTGATTCAAGTGTTGCGTTAGAAACGGTGACTCGTGTTTGCGTTAGATTTGAGTGGAAATTCTAGCACCAATATAACATTTGCGTTACAATTTGGACGCAATATTGCTTTGGCAATTCTAGCACCCATATAACATTTATTTATGTTATAACACCTCTAATTAAAATCATGTTAGAAATTCTAATAAAATTGCATTAAATCGTATTGTCATAAATAATGACTGTTTCGTTATTCAAGTGTTTTGTCGAAATTCGATAATTACTCAAATCATTTTTATAAATAATGACTGTTTTAGGGTATGCTTTTATCATCTTTTTCTCCGACCTGCAAGTTTATTTAACATCAGGCCTAAGTGAAGAACGTCGGGGCGATTTTTATCCACTATTGGGCCTAACCCAAACCAATATAAACCAATAATAATAATAATAAAATATGAAAATCCCATAAAAATACTCGAAATTTACAAAACATACAAAATATATATCAATTTTTTAAGTTAACAAATAAATACACTAAATATTAAACATGTACCAAAAATATATCAACTCTTCGAATTGAAAACATTTTTTTTATATTTTGATATCGTTAAGATTTGTATGTAAATTATTTTAAAATAAAAATATTAAAATCCGTTAAAATTCTTATATAAAACAATTTTAAATAATTTGATTCTAATTATTGATAATGTAACTGAAAATTATGTATGAAATTAATTTTTATTTGAAGACATTTTTTGATATATTTTAATATTTGATGTATTTATTTATTAAAATTAAAATTAATATTTTTTTTGACGTATTTTATAAAATTGGATATTTTTAAGGAATTTTCTCCAATGAAAATAATAAAGAGACACACGTGTGGATGTGCACGCGCGCGTGTGGGATAGCTGTTGCTGAACATGTTCGAGGGGTTTCGTTATTAGCCAAATACACCGCACGCGCACTGACTCAACCATCACAACAATAATGGAGTTTTATTATAATTCACACATTTCAATAGTTTAATAAATAAATGATTATATTATAATTTACAATTAGGGTTTAGGAAATCATTGTGCTCCGGGAAAGAAAAAACATTTAAAATTTAGTTCAGTTCTCGATGAGTTTGGTCCCTTTACGAATATCCTCGGATCTCTCCCGTCCACTGTTAAATCACCCCCTTTTCTCTTCTCGTGTCTTCTTCGTTAATTACTTAAATTACTTTTTTAATATATATATATAAATTGGCCTTTTTGTTTCTTCAAGCGACGACAACATACCCCTTGAAATTCGAAAATATATGCCTAACCCTCTCGGGGCTAACCACCACGCGTCTCTATATTTTAATATTTTATCATATATATATATATATATATATATCTATATCATGTCTATATTCTATTTTTTGTATGAGGTTATAAATCAAATATATACAACAAATACAGTAACTGATTATTGTAATGCAGTGAAAAGAAATGGAGTGATGTCAATGTGTACAAAGAGTAGCATAATGTCATGCTTCATCACTATATTAGGAATCTGAATTGATTATTAAATTATTTATTAAAAAAAAGATATCGTCTACTCAAATATTTTACTATATGGTTATGATGACCTTTTCAAAAGTAAAATTGCTTTTATCCTCCTATATCACAAAACACATATGAATATTTACCGTCGTTATCTAAGATGAATTTTCAATTTTAGATTAATTTTAGTTCATAGATTTAAAATTTTTTTATTTTATTAAGTTCGCTTAAGTTCTTTTATCTCTTGTGGTGAACTTTCTTTAGTTCTTTTTTTTCCTCCACTCTCTTATTTCAGTATTTAAAAATTATATTTTCCAGAACCACATCATCGACAATTAAACAGTTCAAGTATACATGCAGCAGAGATCATTAATATAAATAGTGGCATTTACCATATATATATATATTGGCATTAAGAAATAAACACCCTAATTAAAAATACAATAAATTTTTATAGAGTGTTGCAATTTGTGTTCAATATCTCTGAACAGAGCGAGTAGCGCTGCGGAAAAAAAGCCAAAATCTGTTGTATATATTGGGTTTTAAATTCTCCAACGCTTAATTAGGGTTTCTTGTATATACATATATATATATATGTATATATATATAATATTAAGCATAGTACCTTTATATAATGATCCCGAAGGTAAAATGATACTTTTATTGACTGGTTTTCCTTTTCGCGTTGTCGTCTACAAGAATCTGGTATAGTTTGTTTATCATGTTCTATTCACGGACACACACGACACAAGTTGTGCTGTTGAGATGGAAAATGGACATTAGGGCACGTGTTGTATTAACTTTTATTTTGTCGAAAATGTAATACAACTTTAATATTCGATGTTTATGTAAATGTAAATAATAATATGAACGAGGGTCCATGTCCCAGAAGGTCCCTTTAAATTTTTTTTAAAAAAAGGGTAAGAGAGAGAGAGAGAGAGAGAGAGAGAGAGAGAGAGAGAGAGAGAGAGAGAGAGAGAGAGAGAGAGAGAGAGAGAGAGAGAGGAGAGAGT